TGGCTATAACTATTGCCAGACATCTTTGATATCAAATCCGCACTGAAAGTCATGTTGATTCTTATACATTTTTCATGGCTATGTACACTCACCCTTGAGATGGGATGTTTCACAAGATCACTAGAGTGTAAATTCCTTGTGAAAATTATGCTATAATATGTCTGTCCTGTACCATACCACTCATGGACAGCATGGGTAAAGCAGAAGGGGATTGCTGCCCATCCCTGCCATGCCTAGATTGAACAAATTGGTGTGGTCTGCTTTTCAAAATAGGGTTTTTGTGATCACCCATTGCACTGTTTCGGCTGTTATAGTCTCTCTGGACTCTCTACTGCACTTCCCCCCTTTCTTCCAGTGGAGTATGGGAGTCCTTACCACTTACCAATTCCTAGCCACTGGAGTGGTTGACCATGGAGGCAACCTGCTGGATGGGTTCCACGAATATGGCTATAACCATTCAGTTCAGAGTAGGGCAGTGTTCGGCCAGTGTAGAGGGAGTTACAAGATCCTCCGGATGAGTGACTATTTCCTGGAGCTCAAATGCCCAAATGCAGTTCACCCCTACAATTGGGTGCCCTTCTCCTCCTACCCTTGTGCAGATATCAATACCCAGTGAGTGAGGTTTTGGAGACCAAGTGAACCAATCACTTAAGTCCTCTCATAGGTTTCGGGTTGTTCATCTTCCCCTCTCAACTTGTCTTCTGTGTTGTATGTCGCAAAAGTTCCACATGGCCTGTTTCTGTCTTGGGTGATAACAGCCTCATTGGATGACGAGGCTGTTATCAACATGGGGTCCTTTCAGGCTGGTTTCACAGTTGCATGGGTTGAGTGCATGCAATGAACTTCCCTCAGATTCTGGATGGCACATTCCCAAATCCCTAACATTAGGCTACCCTGTGAGTTCCAGGAGATGAATATTAGCTTCTTTCTTGACTCTGGGACTTGAGGTGAAGACAGTAAGATCCTCATTCTATCCTTGTGAGGATGGCAGTACCCAGCGAGTGAGGTTTTGGAGATAGAATGAACCAATCACTTAAGTCCTCACACAGGAATCGGGTTGTCCATCTTCCCTTCTTGACTTGTCTACTGTGTTGTGGGTTGCAGAAGGTCTACATGGCCTGTTTCTGCTTCTGTCCTGGGTTTGCCCTCGTTGGGTGATGAGGTTGTTTTGGGCTGGTTTCAGGGTTGTGGGGGTTGAGTTCATGCGATGGACTTCCCTCGGATTCCAGATGGCACATTCCCAGATCCCTGGCAGTACGCTACCCTGTGAGTTCCAGGAGTCAAATGTCATGTTTCCTCTTGACTCTGGGACTTGAGGTGAAGAAGGTATGATCCTCATCCTACACTTGTGAGGATATCAGTATCCAGCGAGTGAAGTTTTGGTTGTAGTTGACTTCCCGAGTATGGTCCTTCACCCCTAGCCACTCTACACCATGGGACACATGCTCACTTGCCTACTTTTCTTCGTGTGATTGAGTGATTCTGATTTCTGTATAAGATCACATTGCTAAACTATTCTCTCCCACACCGATGTGCTCCCTTTCATGTTCTGCCATGTCTGGTCCTCCTGGTCACATTGATGTTCCTGGTGAAGAGATACCTGGCTCATATGTGGTGTGGAACTTCTCAGATCATCTGATCTATTACTCTCATTTCAGGGGTGTCCTCTGGACACTTCCGGGGGAGATACGCCTGTGCATTCCTCGCATTGGTCCCTACTCCATTTCAATGTGGGATTCAAGCTAATCTTGTGAGCAGAGGAAGAGTACCTTATTGGAAGTTATAATTTTCCTACATGCAAATGTATTTCTGATAGGTACTTCCTTCTGCTCACAATTCCCACCTGTCCTCCCCACAATCTTCAGGTTTTTGCATATTCTGCCAGACTTCGAAGTGATAGTTCGGTAGTGGTGTGTAGAGGGATTCACATGTGTTATGTGATAGTAGTGCTCTCCTGTTGGTGGAGAGGTGATGCATGATGATTTGCATGAGAGATGTGTTGGAACTTTGCATTCCAACAGAGGGAGAATGAAGGTTTGTGGCATGCATTTCTGAAAAAAGTTTGCATATAGAGGGCAGCACAAAACAAGAAAAGCTAATATTGTGAGCGGAGGGTAGTACCTGTCGGAAATACATTTCATTTAGGAAAATTTTAACTTTCCTAATAGAAAATCTATAGCCTGTACTCTTCAAACACCTTACAATTGCATTACCCTTTTAACTTTTGCAACCTAGAAAGATAATGTTTCAAGGTTCAAAAACAACTTAAATGACAGTTTCACAAGAGAGAGACTCAAAAAATGCACAGTTTTTACCAAAATTTTTAAAATGTGTTTTGATGTTCAAAAATGTTTGAAAACATTGTACAGCAAATTTATACATGTGAATAGGATATATAAATATTTATTAACATGTAATACATTAAATAATAGATTATGACACAGTTACAGTTTATTGTGTGAAGAATAATTTAGTTGCTAGTAGCAGTCACAGATTTTCTAACAACCATTTGTTAGTGCCTTTAACCCTAAGTGCACAGGGTCAGTCCTTGGGACTAATGCCATATGTGAGATTTAATATTTACTATAATTTTGAATTTAATGTTTATCATTATGAAATTTGGCAAGATTTTAGTAAATTTGAAAAGTCTGTTGTACACCAACAATCCCAATTTTTAATAAAGTATTTCTATTTAAATCTTGCTTGAGAACTTAGAAAGCCTTCAGTCTGAGTGAAATATGATTGCAATGATACGAATAAAAAATAAATCTTTTCAGCATAAAGTTTTCTTGTTTCATGTTCTAACATGATCTGAAGTATTTTTCATAAAGTATTTCTATTTAAATCTTGCTTGAGAACTTAGAAAGTCTTCAGTCTGAGTGAAATATGATTGCAATGATACGAATATAAAATAAATCTTTTCAGGATAAAGTTTTCTTGTTTCATGTTCTAACATGATCTGAAGTATCTTTCATCTTTACACTGAAATTGTCCTTTTCGGTTGGGGGGGGGGAGTTCTTGACACTTTATCTCTCTCTCTGGGGCCTGGTATTTGATGGAGTGATCTCTGGTTATTGACATTCTGGAGATGTCTGCAGATTTTGGGACTTGCTGAAATCTTTGGTTGCAGTTCTTGGGTCGTTTAGTGATGATCCATTTTGATACTTCTGTGGTTGTTTCTTATGTCATCTGCCAGGGAGGCAACTGTTTTGTTGTAGCCCCATCTGTTTCAATGATGCTGGTTTCTGAGCAATGTTAACCACACCTTTCGTCTCTTGCTCAGCACTGTTCTCTTTCTTTTGGCTGTTTTCTCCTTTTAGTGAAGCTTTTAAATCTTTAAAACGAGTATGATCATTAATAATAATTACAAGTCCAAGTAGGTGTCCTCTAGCCTGAAGATCAGGCTGATTGCCTGTTACTGTTCATCTTCAAAGATGCAACAAATAACATTGACCAACTGCATTACAAACAAAGTTGGTTTTCTTTTGACTGCAACTCTTACATAAGTGGATGAATTTAACAAGCCACAAAATATAACCTAGCATAATTCAGTATTTAGGTAAAAGAAATTCAAGGTATGTTTTTTTCTTAATTTCATAAACTTCATTCATATTTTTGTTTTCTTGCAGGAACAATGAGCTAATGATGATACATTTGATAGGCTACTGCAACAGTTTATAGCTGACAAAAGAAATATGGATTTTGAAAGTCCTGATGTTGAGAAAGACTTCCCAGGCTTGTATGCTTCAGAAGGCATGATGAGGAGTCCAGATCGAGACAGTGGTTGTAAGTTACTTTTGTGCATATCTTTTTAAAGATCTCTTATTTTTCTTTTTTTTTGTTATACTCAACTAGGAAAGATTTTTTTTATTTAATCTCATTTGTACCAGAACAGAAGATATGTTCATATGCTGTTTGCTTGGTTCACGTTTATTAGAGCTGATTATCAAGTGACTAGTATTTACCTTTTCACATGTTACTTGTCACATAAACCTTGTCATATGTTCCTCAACTTATCTTATCCAGTATCAGTCAGGTTACTCAAAGCATAAAATCTTCATATCCATGAGAACTTTTGTGTTTTTGTTCAAGCATCTGTTAAAAATGTTTGTGGCTTCAGCAGTAGCAGTGTACTTTACACACATAAGTCAAGATTTGAAATAAGTTTATTATAATGAATTTTTATGTTACTAATAAGGAGAGTGATGTAAAATAACTCTGTACCTAGTTATTGTAGTTTAGATAAAGATATTGATAATTCTTACAAATTTATGTATGAAGTGGATGGTAGGCTGTTCAATAAGCTTTTATGTAATCCTGTATATAGCAATTGATCATTATTATACATGGTGATGGGTGATAATGAAAATAATTACTGCACTGTCATGGTTGTACAATTATCATGATTGTTATACTTACCACAATAATTCAGAACTTGGGTAGAAAATTTGAGAAAGATTGACTTAACCTATGGAATATGCTTTTCCATACTTAAAATTGTTCATTCTGACAAGGTACCTTACTCCTGGTCAAATGCATGGCTATTCCCGTTTAGTGCTGCCCTGTATTAGCAAACATTTTTTCTCATGCCACAAGGCTTTCACTCCCACCCACCCCCTCGATTCACATGGTTTACCTGATTCTCGCACACAAATTATCATGTGACAGACCTCCACCAATAGTAGTGCCACACACCCACATGACTCATGACTCACTCTATGCTATTCTACCTAACTATTGCTTCTCATTTTGCAGTGCTTATGTTCAGAGCTCTCTTCAAGTGTTTTTTTTCTTCTATCAATTTCTTTCAACAAGTTTACTAATTATTATACAGTAGTGATATTTATAACTTATTCCAAAGTGGAATTATTTTGTTATTTAATTCTTCATTACAAATTTTTTCTAATTTGTATTTCTTTCTGCCAACACAGTTATTTTTGGTTATTCATTTTGAATTATGAATTGCAAATTCTTTGTTACCACTCCAGAGGTTATATCTTCTATCAGCACATTTACATAGGCTTTAGGTGGCAGTTCTTGACTGGAGAATTATTTGCTTTACTTCACTGGGAGAATGATTGTACAATGAGCTGACCTTTCTTGGGCCTTGACTTGAGTTTGGGGACACACACATTTTGAAATATGGTCTGCCAACTTTTGAAAGATAAGGTGTTATATTTTTATGGTCTTATGGGTACCATCTTCCACCTGTTACCATCCTTCATTCTTCAGTGAGACTGTAAATGGGTAATTTTTTTGTTGTTACATATAATTTTTCAGGAACCTCTTCCATGTTTTGATGAGAATCCTGCTCTGTGATGAGTGGTGCCTGTCCAGGTATACTTCAATCGCTTGGAATTGTACTAAAACCCACACTGTAAGGCCTTGTTGACTTAACTTTCATAATTTCCATGGCCACAAAATTCATACTGTTCATTACAATCACAATCTAGAGATGGGGTGTTCCACAAAATTACTTGTAGGTTATTCCTCACAATATCTTTGCTTGATAAATATGCCTGTTCCTGATTGTACTAACCCATGGACTTCATGGTAAAGTGGAAAGAGATTGCTGCCCATCCCTGTCATTCCTTAGATTGAATAAATCAGGTTTGGTCTGTTTTTCAAAATAGGGTTTCATGGTCACCCATTGCACTGTCTCCAGTGTGAATATTCCTCCAGACTCTCCACTGCATTCTTCTTCCTTATTACATCTAGTGGAGTAAGAGTCCTTATCGCTTTCCAGTTCCAAGCTGCTGGGGTAGTGGACCATGAAGGTATTCTCCTGAATGAGTGATATACAATATAAACAATAAAACTCTATTGAGTTGAGGGTAGGGTGGTGGTTTTCTGCTTTTGTACATGACGAGATGTCCTCCAAATGGATGCCCCATTTCTACATGGGTTTGTCTGTGGATATGTTGTAGCTTTGGAATGTGCTGTCATAATGATTGGGATCCTTCATTCTACTCTTGCTTGGAAGTCAGTTCCTGGCAGTTGATTTCTTTAACTTAAAGCTGAATCAATTGACACAATGAATTCACACATATAGTGTACTGGCATAAATGCAGTTTACCCCTTTGATTGGGATATTTCATCCTACCCCCACATGGATGATAATTCTCAGTGGTTGTTTTTCATTTAGAGCTGAATCAATCAACGATCAGGGTGTCCCTTTTCCCTCACTAAATTTGCCTTGAGTACTCTACTCTAGTGTTGTGTGTTATGATGGGTGCATTTGTTGGTTGCTCTGCTTCTTTCTGTTTCACTACCCTTTGATTTTTTTTATGCTGAGGATGTTACTGTGTTTGAATTGTTTCTGGTCCATTTGATTTGTGTGGGATGTATATGTATGTTATTTCACTCTGCTCACATGTGCCCTGCTCACAGATTGGTGGTTGGATTTCTTCCTCCAGCCAGCGGAACTTAAGGTGAAGACAGTATGATCCTTCTTCTTACCCTCGCATGGATGTTGATTCCTGAGGGTTGAGTTTTGGATTGTAGTTGACTTGCCATATACAGTCCATCACACCGTAGCCACTCTACACCTTGGGGTACATCCCTTATTTTATCAACATTCTGTTCATCAGGGACATTGAAATTATTATATATTGTGGTTAGGATCACTGTACAATCATTTTCTCTCCAATTGAGATGTGCTCCTCACAATTTTCTGCTTGGATCTGTTCCACCTTTTTTTACATCTGGGCAAAGAATATACCTGGTACAGAAGTGGTGTGGTCTCCCATGTATAATCCTGTTGTTAGAGGGTTCCGTCTTTAAGGTGTCCTTCAAATGCTTTCAAAGAATGCTTCTGTTTTCTTCCTCACACCGGTTCTTCCACCTATTCAATGTGGTATTCTAGCTATGCATGTGAGAGAAAGTAAGGTACCTTGTCGAAAGTTATACTTTTCTTACACTGAAAATGTATTTCTGATAGGTACATCTCATCCCACCCTTCCTCCCCAATGTCAATCGTAGCTTATGATTAATTCTCGCAACACAGGGTCACATGACCTTTTGTACTCGTTTTAAAGTTGATATAAAGTTAATACTTATAACTCTTTATATATTAGGTATATCTTCAAGAAATTTGGCAGTCTTTCAGTTTATATTACAAGTCTTTCACGTATAAAAAGTAATATTTCTTAGTGAAGTATTTCTAATAAAATAAAATAAAGTTTTGTCCATGAATATATTGAGTATTTGTTTTGAATAGTCCATGTGCAAAGTAATTTTCATGTTAAAATTAAAAATACTTTTCATCATCTCAAAAATCTCAAATTTCCTTTGTATAATCCCTAAGACCTCCTAAATGCATTTCAGACATTTTTTTTTCACTAAATCCTTATAGTTTGTTATTTTCTCTACCCTATCTCAAAACAGGATTGGTCAATTTGACTGACCTCATAACCACCAAAATAAAATCGAGGTAAACCTAAATTAGCCTTCTTTTCTTTCTAGAATGACTTAAAATTGTAACATGAAACTACATTCGTTTATTCTAAGTAGCTCTAAGTTCATAACGTTATATATATCTATTTATGATTAAATTTTATTGATTTATTGCCCTTTGAACCATGTCTAACTACTATCTGCACCATTATAATTTGTAAATCACTCGGGGAATTATTATTTATTATACCTAATCTAGTCTTAAATAACTTAAAAAGATCTGTATATTTAATTTTAGTTACTTTTATAATAATAAATAAAGAATAAATATGAAAAACAAGAAACAAAGTACTTACCAAATCTTCTTTTTTACTTGCCCTCAGTTGTCGAGGAGAGTTAAGCCTGATTTGTTTTAGTGATAATAGTAAAGCACTTAACAATTTTTATTTAATTAAATAATAAACCGAAGAATATAGACTAATAATGTGCAAAAGGTAGACAAATTCACTTACTTCTAAAAATTTTCCTGGCTTTCTAAATATGTGACAAAAGCCGTTACAAATTCATCCAAGCTAGTCGTTAACTTTCCCAAGGAAACGATGTTGCTACTCCGAATGAAATTGACGGTTATCTGTTGAGAACACAATGCTATACAATACGTCATTTGATAGATGAAAACCTTGACATTCTATTGGTTATAGGTAATATATAATGAAACATAAGAGAGAGCTATCAACGAATTGTGAAAGAGAGGATGTGACAAGTGGGTGTGGCAGGAGGGGTCTGATTTTCTATTTGATAGCTCTGTAACAAAACAAAATTGAAGGCTATAAAAATGATGGTTTGTTTGAGCAATAATGATTTTAAAGAGAGTATTTTACATTTAATTTTGTACATTTTTGAGGGGTGATGGATAAAATAGGGATGATGACATGCTAAGAAATTCAGGATGTTTTAAAAATATTTCCATGAAGAATGAAGAACTTAAAACTTGTATACTATTAAAATATGGATTATTAGCTAAGATTTTATGCTATTCTAATTGATATAACATAAATATTGAATGTAAGACACTATAACCTTGTGTCATGCATAGTAAAGGGTATCCAGGGTGATAGGTTTAATTTAAAAACTTTTGATATTCATTTATGAGGTTCTAGAGATTATGGAAATGCAATGGGAAAACTGTAAGATTGGGAAAAGTATTTTAATAATCCATATAAAAATCACCTTGCAGGTGAACTATTCAGGGACAAATGGAATTAACTAAATGAAATAACAAATCTTAATTAGAGATAGTAAAAAATGTTAAAATTTTATTTTTTCTGAAACTACATACTTTTAGGAATGTTTTTATCAAATTTCCAACAATTTCATCCACTAGTTTTATT